TCGTGCGCGCCAAATTGGCATGTACCCGATAGCGAGTACACCACCGAGATGGTTTGAATACTTTGTGATCACCAACGTAGGTGTTAATGAAGTATGATTTCACGAGATCGGCTCTTTGCACATCAATTTCAGAAACTGCGGCTTCCAGACCCTTCAAAACGAGGCCTGGGGGCAGGAAAGGAAGAGAAGCCAAGTTGTAATATGATTTGAAACCCGTTTCGTCTTTTAAAAGTTTAAGCTTTTTAAATTGTTTTATCAAATTCTTGCACAGATGAAAATAACAGAGAGAGATTGCAGAATGTGGGAAAATTGCCTCAACGGCACTCACTGCGGCGGGTTCAAAATCCAAAGTGCAGCTTGCTACAGGTCTACGTAAGAAATCTCGGAGAACAGAGAAGGCTGAATAGTAAGTTTCGAACTTCTTGTTCGCCAAAAGGAATACAAAGGCCGGGAACCTCTTCCCCGAATGAGGGCTCTTTATCAAGCAGGTATACTGTTGAGCCCACCTTTGAGCACAATAGTCGAAGGTTCCGTCCAAAGAAATGTGAAACTCGGAGCACGAAGCATTTAGCTCTTTCGAAACCGCCGGATTGTAATAGCAGATGAGACGATCCGGATCCGCCAAACCAGAATCAAAGGCTAAAGTGCAATATTCCTCACCTCCAATAGTGGCCTTCTTATACTTGGAAGGGATGGTCCAACCGTCTCTAGCTACTGGAGCAGTTGGAGTAGGATCTGCTTTCTTACGTTGTACTCGCATCGTGTTCAAACAGGTCTTTATCGGCGGTAGCTGCTCTATGATCCTCTTAGGAGCTGTGGCAACAACTTCGTCAAAAATGGGTCGCATCGCTACATGAGCCTTCACACCAGCAGCCTTCTTACGAAGAGTCTCCCGCACCATACTGACGGCTGCCGTAGGGCCCCCGCAGACATGAGGTTTCTTGCCCCTTGAAATTGCCACTACCGAAAGATCCTGGTCAGGATCAGCCCTCACGATGAGACTAGCAGAGCAGTCACGATTGGTGCAGTACCAGTACGTAGTCCCAGTCGGAGCCGACTTCGGAGTCTTCTTCGAATACTTATACCCTTCGTGAACGAGATGACATCCTCCCTTGTTGGAGGGGATCCACGAGAGACCATTTCCGATAGTCATTGTATGTTGAACTACTTGAAAACAACTCCTAATCGTCGCTGTTTCCGAAGGTCATTGACTGTATACTAAGCAGAATGACCGTCGTTCTCTCCGGGCTGCAGCACTATCCCAGTGTGGTCCCTCCGAATACCCCGCATCCCCCGTGGTAGTGCCGCTCCCTCGCGTTGTGAAGCCCGAAAAAGAACACCATTCAGTACTTCCTGTTCACAACCATGGCATAGAGTGACTCAAAAGCTAGTACTAGACCGTCCGTGTTCCTCGTACTTTTCAAAAGTCGCTTCAAGACACGCAACGAAGAACTAGGCGTGAAAAAGATGACAATCTTTATAATATGTGCAGCACGCCTCAGTGCTCCGTAGCGCTGGCACGGGCCCTCTTAACCGCTCACTGCCAGGCCGCGAGCAAGGTGACTACTCAAACATGAGACAACCGGACAGAGTGTGATCATTGAAAGTTGAATCGGTTCGGGAAGAGTGGTAGAAAAATTACTTATATTTGGGATACCGGTGCGGGCGAGTTTGTTGTTCACTATTTTCATGCTTTCACCCACTTTAGTGG